TTTGGGGGGGTTTTGGAGGGTTTTGGAGGAATGTTTGGGTATTTTTGGGAATTTTTGGAAATTTGGGGGATTTTGGGGGGATTTGGGGGATTTTTTTGGGATTATTGGGAATTTTGTGAGACTTTTTGGAGATTTTGTGGGAATGTTTGGGGGGATTTTTGGGGTGATTTTTGGGTTTATCAGGATGATTTTTTGGGTTTTTTGGGAATATTTCATGGGATGTTTATGGGTTTTTTTGGGATTTTGGGGGTAATTTATGGGAATTTTTGGGGATTTTTGGGGAATTCAACGGGATTTTGAGGAATTTTTGGGGGGTTTTGAGGATTTTGTGGGAATTTTGGGAATTTTTGGGGGGATTTTTTGGGTGATTTTTGGGTTTATCAGGATGATTTTTCGGGGGTTTTTTGGGGCTATTTCACGGGATTTTTATGGGGTTTTTTTTGCAATTTTTGGGGTAATTTTATGGGGATTTTTGGGTGAATTCGATGGAATTTTGGGGTTTTCGTTTCCTACGGGATTTCGGGGCTCCCTGACCCCGAATTTTGGGGTTTCCCAGCACGGCGCCAGCGTGAACCCCAGTCCTACGGGGATTTTGGGGGATTTTGGGGATTTTTGGGGATTTTGGGGGTTTTGGGGTCTTTCATGGGAATTTCATGGAGGGTTTAGGGATTTTGTGGGAATTATTGGGGATTTTGTGGGAATTTGGGGAATTTTTGGGAGGAATTTTGGGGGAATTTTTGGGAGGAATTTTGGGGGGATTTTTGGGGGGATTTTTGGGGTTATCAGTATGATTTTTTTGGGGTTTTTTGGGGATAATTCGCGGGATTTTTATGGGGTTTTTTGGGGATTTTTGGGGTCAATTGGATGGGATTTTGGGGTTTTCATTTTGGATGGGATTTTGGGGCTCCCCTGACCCCGAATTTTGGGGTTTCCCAGCACGGCGCCAGCGTGAACCCCAGTCCTACGGGGATTTTGGGAAATTTTGGGGATTTTATGGGAATTTTTGGGGATTTTATGGGAATTTGGGGAATTTTTGGGGGATTTGGGGAATTTTTGGGAGGAATTTTGGGGGGATTCTTGGGGGGATTTTTGGGAGGAATTTTGGGGGGATTTTTGGGGTTATCAGTATGATTTTTTTGGGTTTCTTGGGGATAATTCGCGGGACTTTTTTGGGGTTTTTTTGGGATTTTTGGGTGAATTGGATGGGATTTTGGGGTTTTCATTTTGGATGGGATTTCGGGGCTCCCCTGACCCCGAATTTTGGGGTTTCCCAGCACGGCGCCAGCGTGAACGCGCAGTCCTACGGGGATTTTGGGGGATTTTTGGATTTTTTGGGATTTTGGGGGTTTTGGGGTCTTTCATGGGAATTTCATGGAGGGTTTGGGGATTTTGTGGGAATTATTGGGGAATTTTGGGGATTTTATGGGAATTTTGGGGATTTTATGGGAATTTGGGGAATTTTTGGGGAATTTGGGGAATTTTTGGGAGGAATTTTGGGGGAATTTTTGGGAGGAATTTTGTGGGGATTTTGGGGGGATTTTTGGGGTTATCAGGATGATTTTTCGGGTTTTTTTGGGGATATTTCACAGGATTTTTATGGGGTTTTTTTTGGGATTTTTGGGTGAATTGGATGGAATTTTGGGGTTTTCCTTTCCAATGGGATTTTGGGGCTCCCCTGATCCCGAATTTTGGGGTTTCCCAGCACGGCGCCAGCGTGAACCCCAATCCTACGGGGATTTTGGGGGATTTTGGGATTTTTTTGGGATTTTGGGGGTTTTGGGGTCTTTCATGGGAATTTCATGGAGAGTTTGGGGATTTTGTGGGAATTATTGGGGATTTTGTGGGAATTATTGGGGAATTTTGGGGATTTTATGGGAATTTTGGAGATTTTATGGGAATTTGGGGAATTTTTGGGGGATTTGGGGAATTTTTGGGAGGAATTTTGGGGGAATTTTTGGGAGGAATTTTGGGGGGATTTTGGGGGGATTTTTGGGGTTATCAGGATGATTTTTCGGGTTTTTTTGGGGCTATTTCACGGGATTTTTATGGGGTTTTTTTGCAATTTTTTGGGGATTTTTGGGGGAATTGGATGGAATTTTGGGGTTTTCGTTTCCTACGGGATTTCGGGGCTCCCTGATCCCGAATTTTGGGGTTTCCCAGCACGGCGCCAGCGTGAACCCCAGTCCTACGGGGATTTTGGGGATTTTTGGGGATTTTTGGGGGATTTTGGGGGGTTTTATGGAGTTTTGAGGGGAATTGGGAGATTTTATGGGAATTTTGGGGGATTTTATGGGAATTTGGGGAATTTTTGGGAGGAATTTTGGGGGGATTTTTGGGGGGATTTTGGGGGGGATTTTTGGGGTTATCAGTATGATTTTTTTTGGGTTTTTTGGGGCTATTTCACGGGATGTTTATGGGGTTTTTTTGGGGGAATTTTATGGGAATTTTTGGGGATTTTTGGGGAATTCAATGGGATTTTGGGGAATTTTTGGGGGGTTTTGAGGATTTTGTGGGAATTTTGGGAATTTTTGGGGGGATTTTTGGGGTGATTTTTGGGTTTATCAGGATGATTGTTCGGGGGTTTTTTTGGGGATATTTCACGGGATTTTTATGGGGTTTTTTTGCAATTTTTGGGATTTTTGGGTGAATTCGATGGGATTTTGGGGTTTTCCTTTCCAACGGGATTTCGGGGTCCCCTCACCCCGAATTTTGGGGTTTCCCAGCACGGCGCCAGCGTGAACCCCAGTCCTACGGGGATTTTGGGGGATTTTGGGGATTTTTGGGGGATTTTGGGGGATTTTATGGAGTTTTGAGGGGAATTGGGGGATTTTATGGGAATTTTTGGGGATTTTATGGGAATTTTGGGGCTATAATGGGAATTTTGGGGATTTTATGGGAATTTTGGGGCTTTTATGGGAATTGTTGGGGATTTTATGGGAATTTAGGGAATTTTTGGGGGATTTGGGGAATTTTTGGGAGGAATTTTGGGGGGATTTTTGGGGGGGATTTTTGGGGTTATCAGCATGATTTTTTGGTTTTTTTGGGGATATTTCACAGTATTTTTATGCGTTTTTTTTGGGATTTTTGGGTGAATTGGATGGAATTTTGGGGTTTTCCTTTCCAATGGGATTTTGGGGCTCCCTGACCCCGAATTTTGGGGTTTCCCAGCACGGCGCCAGCGTGAACGCGCAGTCCTACGCCGGCTGCACGGCGCTGCACGCGGCCGCCGGCCGGGGGCTGCTGCGGCTGCTGCGGCTGCTGCTGCGCTGCGGCGCCGACTGCGGCCTGCGCAACCTGCACAACGACACCGCCGCCGCCGTGGCCGCCAGCGCCCAGGTGGGA